TGCTAATTGATGTAGGAGGGTCCAGTTTACTGTGGACAGTACCATTTCTAGGCAGGTGGGCCTGAGATATGTAAGAAAAGTAGCTGAAATGAACCTGGATGAACCAGTAAACTGTGTTAGTCCATGGTTTCTGCTTCAGTTCCTGGCTTCCCTTAAGGATGGACTGTGATCTACAATTGGAGCTAAGCCCTCTTCTTCCCCAGCTGCTTTTGGTCAGTGTTTGATCATAGCAACAGAGGGAGTAACCTGGACAGTCCGCAGCATGTGAGCTCCACATAAGCTGCCTACCTATTTCATGAGACGGATGCTACCATTTCCTTGGGCTTTATGAGTTAAGGGGCTTGTCATGCTTACAGACCCAATGAAAGACGGGGCATTCCACAGTCCCTGTGTGACAGCCCTGTTCTGAGACAGACAGCCTTCCTTGGAATTTGTACACGGCTCAGAACAGTTCTTATAGGAAAGGATCCCATGTGGCCTTCTGTCTAGCTGGTGCTTTAGCACCTACAAAACATTCTTACACAAAACTGTTTGTGGAATAGGGCAGAGCATATGAGGACTCTCTCCAAGGGACATTTGTCCTTTCTTTTTTTTTTTTTTTCTGAGACAGGGTTTCTCTGTGTAGTTTTGGTGCCTGTCCTGGATCTCACTCTGTAGACCTGGCTGGCCTTGAACTCATAGAGATCTACCTGGCTCTGCCTTGCAAGTGCTGGGATTAAAGGTGTGTGCCACCACTGCCTGGCCTAGACATTTGTCTTTCTAAAGCCCTCTATTCAGAGTGTTTGGATCTATGTTTACACTATGTGGATTCTCTCCTCTGGCCAGTCTTTGGTCATGGATACATGAGTCAGCATTTACTTTAAGCTTAGTCAATTGGAGTGTCTTCCCACTAGGAGTTTAGAATCGAGGTACCAATCAGCTGGTCAATGTTTTAAGACCTGTGAGGAGAACATGTGGATTTTTCTTCCTGAGGTTGTGTGATCTCTCTTAATATTATACATACTAAGTTTATGCATTTTCCTGCAAATTTTGTGATTTTTGTTTTTCTGTAGAATTGAATAGTAGATCCCTCAAGTGCAGATCCTAGCCCTATATCTATATAAACAAATGTATGTGTGGGTGTAGTATATAAACCTAGTTGTTTCTCTAGTTTCAATCCAGTCATGGATGTTTTATGGTTTTTGGGTGGATAAGTGTATGAGAACATGTTCAACAGTGAAAGGTGTAGCATCCAGTATAATGCTGTACAGCTTGAGAAGTGTTGTTCTAACTGAACAGAAGTTCTTTAAAACATCCAGACTTTGGATAGGGTGAATGTTGGTGCATGATGTTTTTAATGTTCAAGTTCTTTATGATAAAGTTTTAATTAATAAAAAGAGACCCATCAGGAGATGGTGATCCAAGGGCAAAGTGAGTGTTCCCTGCCACATTCATGGAGAGCAGGGGATGCTTATTTCTGGAGATGGGAATAAAAAGATACAAAAGAGCTGAGTGCGGGAAACATGTCTGTAATCCCAGCACTCAGGAAGTTGCAAATTTGAGGGCAGCCTTAGCTATGTAGAGGGTTGGAGGTAAACTTTGGCTACATGACAAGACCTTGTCTCAAGAAATAAATAAACCATTCTTTTGTCCACAACAATAAAAGGAAAACAAGCAGACAAAACTGTGGTATTGTATTCCCCCAAATATTGTGCATGCTAATAAACTTATCTGGGGTCAGAGACAGAGCAGCCACAATATTAAACATAAAGGACAGGCAGTGGTAGCCTTTAATCCTAGTATTCCAGAAGCAGAAATCCATGTGTTCAAGGATACAGACAGGCATGGTGACTCATCCCACCTTTAATCCCAGAAAGCAAGCCTTTAATCCCAGGGAGTGGTGGTAGAAAGCAGAAAGGTATATAAGGCATGAGGACCAGAAACTAGAAGCATTTGGCTGGTTAAGCTTTCAGGCTTTGGAGCAACACAGTTCAGCTGAGAGCTATTGGGATGAGGACTCAGAGGCTTCCGGTCTGAGGAAACAAGACCAGCTGAGAAGTTGGCCAGGTGAGGTTAGCTGTGGCTTGTTCTGTCTCTCTGATCTTCCATCGTTCAACCAAATAACTGGCCTCAGGTTTGATTTTATTAATAAGAATTTTTAAGATTCATGCTACACAAAGTCAAATAATAACAATGCCAACCCCCATTTTGCTCAGAGTAGCTCAGAATCCCAAGCCTGAGTGACAGACATTCCTCCCTTATAAGACGAAGTTACTGCTCTGGCCAGTTCATGAGAGGTCTCTTGACAATCCCCAAACCCTGACTTTTCAGGACAGCCTTGTAGCTCCCAGTAAACATGTTTGCTCCAGTCTTTGCTCAGGAAAGTGATGATAAGAGTGTTAATTGTAGCAATGTGCTTGAACCATGGCACAGGGACGTCCCCCAGGTAAAGGACCAGGGTGAGTGACTTCCTTTCTGTCTCAACAGCACACTGGCTAGAATAAGGGGGTTATTTATAGCTTGTTCAAAAGACTGGCCAGCTACTTCTCCTGACTGCAAAGCAGGGTGCTATTTCTTGCATTGCCCCCCTGCATGCCCACCACATGACCTATAACGCTCATACACAGTCAGCCACTACACTCCCTTAATCCACACTGTGTCTCTTGTTTCAGGCAGGCCATGGTACCTCCCAGATTCTCTTTCCCATATGGATCCATCTGATGGCTACAAGATTTGAGACACAAAAATGAAGCGGAAGCTGGGCTGCCATGGTGAAAGACAAGCAGGACCATCTGGTCAACCTCAAGCAGCCCTTCTTCACTCCCTGTTTCCCATGCACTTTGCCAAGTCTGCCGGCCCACAATAGCTTCGGGCCCTCCACCAGGCACAGAGTCACAGCCTGCAAAGTAGCATATTACAAAGGGACAGCCAACTGTGTAGATGTCGTTTCCCAGACCCTTGCTAGCAGTCTCTCATTGCATTTCCGTATTAGCAGCCAGTTGGATACAACTTCTACTTTTCTGCAAGCTCACACTTAGCCAGTCTCACCAAGGCAGATGGAGTCAGTGACTCTTTCTTTGATTATTCTATGCCCATCTTGAGATCTTCTCTTTCCCACATCAACATTTCTCTGAGTACTGATTAATCTATTAGAGGATCTATTTCATATTTCCAGTGGTTCTGTTTTCATGACTGACACATGTGAACTAGGAATAATAACAAATAATAAGGTTAAGGCTTACTAACACGTTTATTTTGTGCTGCTATAACAAAATACCTGAGGCTAGATAATTTATAATAGAAAGAAAGTTTCTGTCTTACAGTTCTAGAGGCCTGAAAGTCTAAGATCTAGGAGTCAACATCTGGACTTTCTTATTATACAATTTTGTTCCACTTGAGAAGCTAAAGAGAAAACCAATAGACCATAGGGAGCCTGATACAGTCACAGGCATAAAAGGACCAGTGATGGTAGAAGTAGGCATCTCAGGCCTGCTCTTCAGGCATGGTGAATGGAGTAACCCTGCTCTCCCAAGTGACTCCGTAAGACCATTTCCCCTTTTATCTTTCCCACCTTCCTTCTTTATTTTTGAGGCAGGGTCTCACTAAGTAGTCCAGCTTGGCTCAAGACTCATGGCAATCCTCCTAGTCAACTTCCTCAGAAACCTCAGCAGTCTGCTTCCAGAAGGTGGATTTTATCTCCATGTTCTAACCCTCTAAGAAGGACTCCATGACCTTGGTGTTTTCTACACACACATGGGGTTGAGATGAAAAATGGAAGTGATGGTGGTGGTGCTAGTAAGTAAGGAGCGTCCTGTATCCCAGCCTACTTTACTCCTTCACTAGTGAGTAAGTAAGGAGCATCCTGTATCCCAGCCTCCTTTACTCCTTCTCTAGTGAGAAAGGAGCATCCCGTATCCCATCCTCCTTTACTCCTTCACAGTAATACCCACTCTCAGTTACAGATGTAGAAACAGGTTCTAGGGAGTGCAAGTACCTTGCTGAGGTGAGCTAGGTTCTCTTTGTTTGCCTGGCTAGCCCTTCACATTCTGAGATGTGCATTGCATTTCAAGCAGTTCCAAGAAAATCGCATAGAAAACCCATATCCAGGATCCATAGGAACAATGAATTGAAGTTTGTTAATTCCATCCCAGCTCCCTTCCTCCTAATCCAGACCACTTTCCAGCCCATGCCAGTATATAGTAGAGCACAGACATCCTTACAGCTATGAAGATTAACAGTGTCATTTATTACACCTGCTACAAGGAAGCGTGTGTGATGCCGTACCTCAGGCACTCATCCCCGCCCCCAAATCTAAACTGCACAAACAACATCATTAAGAAGAAAAACACAACATAAAATTAATGTGGTTTTTGAAATGCCATAGACTTGAGATGAGCTGCAGACTGGGTCAAGAGAGCCATTTCTAGGCTTCTTTCTAAATGATGTGGACAGGGAATTCTTCCTGGGGTGTTGAGGGATGGATGCAGATTGTTGTGCTCAGTCCTGTCTCAGTGCCAGCCTGTGAGAGGCAGTTCCATCTGCTCTACCTGCAAGAGCTGGAAAGTTCTGTCAATGAACCTGAGGAGCCTTCCCTCCATGGTTGATCATAGGGTGGGGACAAGCCCAGCTCCTGTCTGGGAGTTGCTGTTTAGAGGACCAATCATAGGAAAAGTAGGCTGCCATTAAGGGGCAGTATCAAAGGAGGCTTGCAGGGTCCCCACAGAATTTGATCAGTAGTATAATCCGTTCTCCAACTGCCATCTCTGTCCTTTACCTGGTGTGGTCCTCTGGGCTATTCAGAAAGGTTGAAAAGGCTGGGAGCCTTCCTGACTAAGTCTTACTGGTTGTTCTAGCACAGACTTAATACAGCTAAGCAACTGTATAGCCGCAGAGCACGTGCTGGCAAGTATCAAAGCTACTTTTCTTTTGTTTCAAACAAGGTTCTGTAACCATAGTAACTTGTGACAATATATGTCAGAAGCAGCATCTTGCTTAGAGTGGTAACAACGTGCTGAGGATGACGGTGCCCTGGGGCTGAGTCTACCTCCCAGGAGAGAACCGTGACTAAGCCGACTTATGAGGCAGAAGAATAGCATGGAGACTATGATGGGGAAAGCCCTGTGGGAAGGCTGCAAAGTGATCATATGAAAAGAACAGGTTGACAAAATAGGAGGCTGAAGGGTTTGCAAAGGTAAGAAGTCTCTGGTGGCTGCTCCTCTGCTTCTCTGATTTTTTACGAACCTCTAATCAGCTTTTACTGATATCTAACTCCAGGTTTTTATTGATAAGACTAATTAGGATCATGATTCACTACCCTAGCTGAGGCAGTCTAGATCTAGACATCTGTGCAGGTGCAGAAGAGGGCACAAAGACGCTCCAGAGTGCGTGGAGGTGACCTGTGGCTCAGGGGTGGAGACTTCAGATGCTCATAAAACATGTGACACAGGAAGTAGTTTGTAGAACTGTACCTCACAGATAAAGCAGTTCCAGGAAGCCTGTGACAACTATGCAAATGATCCCCAAACCCATGTTATGTGACATTAACTCCCTATTTCTTTATAGAGAGGAGCTTTGAGCTATTAACTTTGTCTGTTTTGGACTCCTTTCTTCCTTGGAAATACTACCTTTTCACAGTGAACTCCTTGACCTTGCTCTAACTGCTTGCTTTTCTTCAGTTCTTTGTTCTGGGACATAAGAAGCAGGAGCCCCTTGGAGGTATGCGTTGAACCTATGTCCACCGGTACCATCGCAGTAAAACCTGCACGTTTCCCTGCTCTCCTCTCGTGGTTTTCTATGGAATGAGGCTGTGGACGACTGCTGCAGAATGTAGAGAAACATAAGGCTCTTTCCCCACTTGTCTGAACTGTAAAGAAATCCATTTTTATTTACCTGTGTGAAACAAGACCATCACTCTCTAGTAGCAAATACATGAGACCAGAGAAAGTGAAGCAGTTTTGATTTTAGGATTCTGCAGTCACTGGCATCGGTCTAGATAAAAGGCAAAAATGGCCTCTCTATTGATTTGATACAAAATGATTTTTTTTAATTCGCAATCACATTTATTTGCTACCCTGAATTCCCCATTGGCTGAATTCTCAGGGAGGTACACTCTTCCTGGTGTCCAGTATTACTTCCTCCCCAAAGTCGCCATCCTATTGGTTCAGGACATAAAAACAATAGCCTAGTGACTATTCTGAGGATTGAGATTCCCTCCCATTTCTAATAAGTAGATTCAGTCACATTACAGACCAACTGTAACTTTCCAACCCTAGGATGAACTGAAAGCACCCAGACAAGCAGACGCTAACTTCCTGTTATGGAGGACAGGGACCCACTGCCTCCTGCTTCTCTGTGACTCTCTCATGTCTCTAAAGACACCTCCCACTGAAACTGAACCATGGTGATTTATTTCTTACATTTGCCAATTTATATTTTCAAATTTTCTTTGAACTACAGAGAAAGTAAAGCAGAAGTATATGGACCCAAGTGGGCAATGATAGTCCTGGAGGCAGTATAGAGTCATGGATGCTGAGGGCCCCTCTGTGAGGATGAATAGCATCCGCTATAGCTACCGGTAAAATTTCCAAATGGTATCCCACTTTGCAAAGCTGCTTCTGGGTCTGGTTCTTTTGTCCTCTTAGTGACCTGTGTTGGCTTTTTAGGTGACTCACCTAGACTATACCCAGACTTGTAGAGCAAAATCCCTGTCTCTGACATCTCCAACATGGTAGGGCAGCCCAACATCCCAATGTGTCAGTTAAAGGGAAAGGCAAAGGGGGGACATTGAGAAGAAGGACAAATAGAGGAACCCAGTAACCCCAAGTTTGTCCTTGGTGTATTGAAATGAGTTTACGATTTCAACAGAGAAAGAACTGAGAGACAAGAGGAATGTGTAGTTTAGTCACTCTGGTCTCGGAGGGGCTGGTTGGTCACTGTCTAAACATTGGTTCTGCAAAGTGTCAAAGATCTCCTTAACCTTTCACAGTATAGGGCATAAGCAGGTCCCCATGAGATGAGCACTTCATTCCAGGATACAACCCCATTCTTGTGGTAGCTGCCCTTGTGGTGAGGGGTCTGTCCTGTGCCACTCTGCTCTTCCTGGAACCTGAGGTGACTGCAGGTTTAGGACAATGACTGGTTGTTCTGTTCTCTCTTTAAAAGGGGTATGATATGATATGATATGATATGATATGATATGATATGATATGATATGATAGGCTATGAGACAGGCTTCCTTGAAGGGTTGCTAGGCTGCATCTGGGCACAACCACACAGGTGATGGAGCCAGGACAAAGGAGCCAGGACAAATAAAGACAGAGATTCTGCATGTTCGCACTGTCTCTAGTTGTTTGCAGGGCTCTAGTGACCAGTGGATGGCTTTCAGCAAGAGTGCCTTCTAGCCTCTGTTGTGAGATTGCTGGGGCCTCTGTCTGGGTTCTTAGCATCCTACATGAGGCTGGAGGAAGGGCTCTGTGACACACCTCTGGGGTCCCTTGACCAGGTCACTGGGCAGTCTGAACAGCTCTTCTAGATTTATTCTAAGTCACCTGTGTGTTAACAGGTTGGTGTCCCTGTTTCCTCATGATTTCAGCCACATTTTGTTGACTTCAACTTTGTATTTGGGAAGCAATGGTTTTCAAGATAATCTCTCCCTTAAGGTTCCCAAGACAATGTGTGTGTCAACATTTATTTAGCTCTAAGTTGTGGGAATAACGGTATTTTTGCAAAACATCTTCTCCATTGCCCCTCTCTCCTATTTTTAAGATGCATGTCTTGAAAGCACATACCCCAATGAATATTGGAAATTTCATTCCTTTCTTCTTTACTCACTTGGTATCAGTTTATCTGTCATGAAGTGCTCAGCTGGCTTTCTGTGGGTCAGCAATCAGAAGAAACTGAGTCATGGGAGAGGAATGGAGTCCAAGGTCACAGACATTGCCTGGAAGGTGCTCTGCTCTGACTGTAAAATGGGAACCTTCCTGACAAGAATAAAGATAACATGAAGAGAGACACCGCTGTGTCCTCCCTTAGACTACCAGATCATTCAGATAATGACCCCCAAGGAACCTCGAGGCAGCCAGACTGGAAATGTTTCCTGTAAAGAGATCTCACGCAGTGCAGACAACTTTTCAAACCATCCTGAGGAGACACTGGGGCAGAGCAATGATGCCAGGCAGGACCACACCTTCACCAGGACAGCCTAGTTATGCGTGCTTCTTTGTCCTCTATTTAAACCCAGATCTTATGTCAGGACCCCCAAGATGGACTCGGGGGTCACTGGGCTTCTTCATTTACTCTTCTTGACAACATGGTCACACTGATTATATTAATCTCTTCTCTGCTTCAGGTGGCCCAGCCCAACTTGGTAGAGATCCAGGTGACCAAACTTACCCTCAAGACTGTGGTACAGAGAGGGTCTTTGCCCAGAGCTGCATTTCACTCTGGCACCCACTGCTTTGTGACCTACACAGCCCCAGTGAGTCTTTCAAGCTTGGGTTTTCATCAATAAAGGTATTGATCATGCAAGGTCATGGAGTTAGTGGGGAGATTCTATTAGTGTGTATCAGAAAGTGCTTGGCACTGAACTCAAAGCACATTAAGGACCTTACAGCTAGCTTTTATGAATATGAGGGACTCCGGGCAGGCACGGGGCTGCCCAATCTCATTAGCTGCTGACATCAGGACTTGTGTGGATTTGGTTTGGGATTTACAATTAGGAAACTAAATGTCAACTTTCTGCAAAGCATTAACCAGCTCACACAATTGGATATTTTCACAGGGCAAATTGTACCACAAAACAACTTTTTTGGACTTTATACCTTTCCTCTGCTCACCCTTAACCCACTTGTAGCATCCCTCTGTGGCATGTGTCACGGGTAATATAATCTGATGATGACCCTGTCCCTTTCCTACCCCACTCTGTGTGTATGTATGTATGTATGTATGTATGCATACATATAATGTACACATAGAAGCATGCACACACACATACACACAAATATACTGAATTACGCATCAGTTGGGATAATAGCATGCATAATATTTCTGCAGCCCACTGTGGTATAGTTCAATACTTTTTGTGTCAGTAAAGATTATTCTACCTAATGATTGCATGGTGTGAATTTTAACTTTATAAATCTTTTGAAATTTATTTCTAATTTTTGCATCTTCTGAGTGACATTTTGATAAAGATCTTGACATGTGTATCTTTGTATACAGCCATCAGGTTCTTATAAAACTGTCTAGACACAGGAATTTTGTGTCAAAGGATATGCACATTTTTTATAACTTTTATTCCATCTTGCCAACTTTTCCATCAGAAATTCTAGATCGATGTATACTCCTGTAGAAGAACTCTGCCAACTGAGGTGTCTTCACTTAGAAACACATGCCAGTTGGAAAGAGGAGCACAGTTTCCCCATCCTCCTTTGATTTCCAAATCAGAACATTTTCACACCTTTGTTGCCTTCACTTCTAGAGTGGAAAGGAGAGGTGGGATGAAGCTGAAAACATAATTCTCCTTAATAAGTCTCCTTGGCTCCTTGGACTCAAACGAGAAGTAAGAAGAGTCTGGTAGTAGATAATTACTATCTCACAGGAAAGACCACATCCAACAGAATGCACCAAGGCTAAGAGATACCGTGTCTACTGAGTTCTGGTAGTAAACATAGTAATTAAGAGTCTAGGGCCTGGAAGAGCTCCTGCAAGAGGGTGAAAGAAAAGCCCTCCGTCTTAAAATATGAAGGCTTAGTGGAATTTTAAGACCTTTTCAGGAACCTTAGAAAGACGTTTCTGTCATAAAATAGCAAGGTATAACATTCACACACAGACACTTGAGAAGCCAGTCTTCCATCTTCTCTGCTGTCCCTGTACTCGCCAACAGCTGAAGCTCTGAGGGATAGCATTCAAAATGAAGACCTCAGAAGGAAACCCTGCTAGGACCTAATTACTGCAGGAGGTTGCCTATAGCCCACTCTAGGGTAGGCCGCATTCAAGCTTACATGTTTATCTTGCCTGTGATAAAATGAGTCAGTGTACAGGAGCTGGCATGCCCCTGTGTGTGTGTGTGTGTGTGTGTGTGTGTGTGTGTGTGTGTGTGTGTGTGTGTGTGTGTCTATGTGTCTGTATGTGTTCACTTATAAAAGTCCACAGGAAAACTTTTGATTGGAGAGTCCTGGCCAAGGTTGGGCA